TCCTTAGCCAGCTCCTCCCCTGGGCTCACTTTGTGTTCAGCTCATGGTGTGGTGATGGCTGTTTAACATACGGGTCTGTGGTGACTCTTCCCTGGAGTACTTCACAAGCCTTGTCAACCTTCGTAGAAATGCTAATGAATTAGTTCATTATCGGTAGGAGACAGAACAAGGGAACCTTTAGGCTCCTTCAAAGTCTCAGCAACTGAAGGGCAAGAGGAGCCTGAAACTAGGGCTGTTAACTCTGGCAGTGAAATCGAGAAAGGTAGGGTCAAACTGTGGGGTATTGGCATTTTACCAAGGGAGAATGGGATGGTCAGGTTTATGTGTCAATGTGACTAGATATGGTGCCCAATTGTCTGGTCAAACAAATACCAGTCGAGATTCTGTGTGTGACTAACATTTAAATCAGTAGATGTGAATAAAGTAGATTATCCTCCAGCATGTGGGTGACCTCATTCAGTCAGCTGAAGGCCTCTTAGCAGACAAGTTTGCCCAAAGAAGCAGCAATGCTCTTAAGGGTGCAGTACCACAACCACACCTGGATTTCCTACTATAACTTTGAAAGACTAAAGGCTAGTGACACCTGGAACTTTAATCTCACAGAGGACTCTGCAACATCTATCATTTGTTGCTAGGCTACAACTGGTTAAGACTAAGCTCACTTCCTTCTAAGTGTGACATCAGCCCAAGCAGAACACTTCAAAATTTTTCCCTTTGTTGTTCAGTGCTCAGAAACCATGATTCTAATAAATGCCCTCCAGGCCAGCCAGGCTAATTGACCAAATGTAAAAGATGAAGATAGTAACTGCTGCAAACACCAGACCTCAAGATCCACTCAAAACATCCAAGTAGACAGACTGTGGTATGTGCAGACATCATGTGTGCAGTTTGCGGGGCACTGTGATGGCCAGGCTGCCGCTCACGTAGTCTGTCAAACCCGTTTCCATCACTTTGATGATGGCATTCCAGGGGGAGCCCTATGGATCACAGACGCCATCATGATTGCATTTACAAACTGCTCAGTGAGGGTGTGGATTCAGATCTTCCTAGTCATCCATGTTCCCTTGGTGCAGTTAGGATAGGAAAATGACATATACACCACTGGATTTTCTTTCCTCATGGCCGAGTCACGTTTTACTGAGATTGTTTCATCACATGCCCTGGAGAGGAACTCTTCCTTAACTATGTGAGTACAGATTAGTTAAGAGAAAGCCTGCTGTAGTAAAAACATACGCTGAACTCTTCTTTATATAAAGAAATTAAGACACCGCTTTAGGGGAACATTTATCATGTATAAGCACTTCCTTTAATTTGCAAGTTATTAGATCTTTTCATGAGACAAAGATTTATGTTTTTTTTCTAAACAGTGTTAATGGGTTGGTTCCACCCTGGTTTCAAGTGGAATCGTAAAGTTACAGAAGGCGCTTTACGATGTTCCCTACTTGTAGCTTGCTTTTGGACTTGTGCCTCGCTATTAACACCACATTCAAGACTCAGACTCTACACTGACAAAAGGCAGGCCTGTGACCCTGCCCCACCGTTAACTTAAAATCTCTCTCAGGTTTCAACACAGTCATCTTGACTTACATCCCTGCCCTTGAGCTGTGATGGCCACCTCTCCAACCTGGCGAGGCACTCCATAAAGTCACAGTCCTGGGTGCCACTGCCCAGTGTTGCTTTTGCCTAGTATTTTCCCTTCAAACAAACCTAGTGCCCTGCCCCCAGTATTCTATACTGTATGGTAAATTTGTCATAATTGTTATATCCTCTGCTTATCTAATTGGTCTCGTTTTTTCTTGTGAATGGGGATACAAGTAGTTATTAATAATGACACATGAAAGCCCGTTGCGCTTTTTTTTTTTTTTTGAGGCAGGGGTCTATGTAGCTCAAGCTGGCCTTGAACTCACAATCCTCTTATCTCAACCTCCTGAGTGCTAGGATTACAAATGTGTGGGCCACCATGCCTCGCTTGAGCTTACTGAAATAAAGGAACAATTAAGCATCTAAAATTAATTGCTAAAATATCACTTTATTGGTAAAAATAAAGCCCCTGAGTGAAAGGTCATTTGGAATGCCATATACACATTTTTAACTTCTTGAAGTCAAATAAGAAAAAAATTGCAACATGTTTTACTTTAGTGTAAAAATCAATTTATTATACAACAATTGTACAGAATACTTTTTATCTAAAAGAAAAATGGCTTCTCATGTCCATCCTAATCAGGATACTATGTTGTTAAGATCCAAGTACTTTCACAGGAAAACAAAAAAGTGATGTCCTCATTTTCCAAATAAGTGACCTCCAGAAACATTCATAAAATGACAGAGAAGTTGAGAAGGACTAGAATGGTTTCTTACATACAAAATGCTATTCTGTCCACCATACTACTATTTTTCCTTAAGTAAGAAATGCTTTTGAATGGGATGGACAGCACTTTATCCACCAATACGCGAAAAAAGGTCAATATAATTTTGATGTGTTGACATTTTCGATGTTTAATTTCATTTAGCAAATGCACCATTTTGCTTAAAAACGGGAAATTAACAGATTTTACAATTCATTAGTGTTTTCCTTCCCATGAGTACTGGGAGAAAACAGTCTCCACTTTTTAAAAACAGATTATAAAAATTGTTTTTTTACATTTTTAGGAAAATCACATTAAAAGTAAACATTTTGGTTTTTAAGCTACAATACTTAGTAACAGGTTAAAATATTTACCTGATTCAGTTTTTGAGGTTCAGGTGTCACAGCTGTATTTTTTGTCAGCCCTTGAATGTTTAAGGCCAAGTGTTTCACTGGACTTTGCCAGTAGTAGTTCTCACTTTGACCTGAGAGGGTTAAGCTGCCTGGTGTGCAGAGCTGCCTGATGATGGTGGGCTACAGGATGACTCCCTCTGTGCTATACGGATGCGAGGCCTGTGAAAACGTCTCCAACTGCATAGGAGACTTGAGGGCCTCATTTGCAATTAGGAAGAAGTGGAGTACATTAACCAGTAATGCTTGCCTCCTCTCTCAGCCTCATTTTTACCCAGAATGCACTTTGGTAACCATTTCTGCCAGTGTTTGAGAACTAAAACTGAACTTGAATCCACTTTCTCCTTTGTTCAGTTTGTGTCTTGTCACAGAAGAGCAGTAGCGGTCATACTCAAGCTAGCCCTTGTTTTATCGAGTCCCATGACAGAGAATACACTGAATACAGGTGTGAGAGATGAGAGGCCAGTGGTGATGAAGTACCGTAAGGGAAGTCAGTTTTAGAAAGCCATTTAGAAAAAGAGTAAGTGGCATCAGACAGAGTTCTGCTCAACAGAAATGCCCAGCCAGTACAGAAAGGGTGTTACAGGAACAGTGCATTTACCCCGAAGACCACACTAATGAGAAAGGGTAGTGTACATGAAATAAAAGTTTACAAAGTATAATTTTCTTAATGAAAATGTAAAACGAGCTTAGGAGAGCAAAATAGGGACAGAAAAGCACAGTTATTGGGGGACTGAGGAAATGCCTTTCCAGTGCCCATGCATTTGATGTCAATGTCATGATTTTAAAACGTGAAAAACTTTTGCCATATTCCTGCCTCAAAAACATTAAAAAAAGGATAAAGTGTCAAAGTTGGCAAGTGTTTTATATGGCATAAATTAATCTTCAGAAAATATTCTTTGCATTCTTGGTACAGTTTAATAGTAAATAACAGTCCAACACTTGCAGAGAGGTGAGACCATTGATGTTTTTCTCTTTCTCGGTATCTGCTTCTCAAGAGAGCATATGTCTGAGCAGGGAAAAGATGTAATTTGTGTCTGCCAAACTGCATTTTCATTGTGACTCATCATGACCCCATGGCTCAGCGTTGGAATCTTTTCACATCACTACATCTTTTCTCTCTGCCTTCAAAACTTAACCTGCAAAGATGGATAGGAAGTATTTAGGATGATATTTGTGAGAAAGCACACAAGAAACAGTTGACGAACTCAACATCTGTTTTCCCATGGCTCTGTTAATTTTGATTTATAAATATTCCAGTAGCACGTATGTGCTAAGGAAAAGGGAAGACTGGAGTCTAGTCCTTGTTCAGAAAGGAAGTGGGCAGCCAGATCTAGACACAACTTTTAGTATGGAGCATGTATCTTTATTAAAGTATGCCAACTGACATGGGAGTGAGACAAGAGTATCAATAAGGAAGCCAAATTAAAACTGAGGGTGACTCCTATCCAAAGGCTCTGAGTTATGAGGATTTGGCAGAAGATCTTTTTTTTGTTTTTTGTTTTTTTTTTGGAGAGTCTCACTAGTGGCTCAGGCTGGCCCTGAACCTGAGATCCTCCTGCCTCTTACGTGCTGGGGTTACAAGTGTGCACCCCCATGCCCAACATGACAATTTTTTTTCTTAGAATAACTATCTTAAAAAATTTGAAGATTAACAAATTTCATTATAGCATCATTAAGTTTAGAAGTGGTTGTGAGAATTTGACCAACAGGACTCTGGCTTGAGAGATTTTGGTAGATTTTTGTCTTCTATTTATGATCCTATTTTAGTATTTTCTGGGGTTGATTCCTAAAGGAATAAATGGACTGCTTTATGAACTGACAATTATTGCTTAATGTAGACTGCAACATACCCTATTATTTACACTATTATTAACCTTTTTGTTGTACACATTTTAATCTGAACAAAACTCTATCTGAAGACTTGCCATGAAAACCAATGCTCCATGTTTCCTGGCTTTGTGTGTGATTAAGGCGCTCTAAAGACACTGTGTGGGGAGGGTAAGTCTGTGGAGGGAGATGTTGCACCTATTATGAGGTCTATAGAGTTTATCACCTCATTGCTGACCACAGCATTCAGTTAACAGAGTAACCTAATACCAATATATTAATACATTCTGAGTACAAATGATTTTTAAACTCAAATTAGTTTATGCTAAAACATACAACTTTCAATTCAGTCTTTGCTTTAAAACAAGCGAATCTGTTAGGCTACTGCAGTGCATATGCTTTTCTGCTTCTCTGTTTATTGTGCTTTCTTGTTCACCACTCCATTAGCTGCAGTGAAGTAGGTTTTGGAGAAGCCATTCTTGACTTCTTTCTCTGCAGGATGCTCTTGCATATCTTTCTTCATCGGCTTTTTTCGGTATGTCTATTGGATAAAGAAAAAAGGAAAACACTCCTTCATAAGACTTTGTCTCTACTATTGCATATAGTTAAAACAGTACATGATTTTCTTGGGCACTGGAAATTCATGTTTAATTTGACCATTTTAAAGCCTCTGGTTGAAGATAAAACCAGGTCAAAAACCAAAACAAATGCATGAAATATCAACAAAGGCTATTTCACTTTATATTAGTCTAGGATTTGCATATCATAAGCAAATTATTGTGTATTAGTTGTTCACTTGGAAAGTATACAATTTTTTAAAAAGTATAATTCAAGAGAAAAGGTACTGTCATTTTAAAAGAACCAACAACCGGGATTCTGTTTTGGTATATTGTCTCTTTCTGGTGCTAGTGATTGAACCTGTAGCTTCATGTATGCTAGGTACACACTCTACCACTAAGCTGCACACCAAGCCTGCCATATCCTTCCTAGTCTGATAAAATTTCTGATCTTTTCTCATTTTTTACTTTTTTTTTTTTTTTTTAAACACTGGTATTAATGAAGGTCAAGACTAAAATGCCATGCTCCAATTGAGGACTAGGATTCAATTTGAACCAGCATGTAGAGTTAAAGCCTTCAGTGTCACTCCCTATTCCCGGCTGGGATACCTGCCTGCCTTCTGGGGATAACACTAAATACCAAAAGGACTCCCTTGGCTTGCCTCTGATTTTTCTTGGTGTGTGTACACACGCACACGTGCATGGCTTTGCTTGGTTCTGTCTATGGTGATGCCTGTAGAAGTTCTCAAAGGAGATTTTTATCTCCTACAAAAGACAAAGCCTGGACAATCCAATTTCAGAAAAACAAGATCTTAAAAGCTGTCAAGGGTTCAGTTCCCAATTGTAGTTTGTATAAAACTAGTATGGGTTAACTTTCAGCAAACACAAGCAAAAAATAAGGAGCACTTCTTGTTTAAAGAAGCAAATACAGATGAATACAATTTCAAAAGTACTGTTTTGAATATCAATGTATATTCAGACTTTCTGATGGAGCTTTCCATTTTCCTAGCCCATAAAGGAAAGCAATTTAAAATCTACAACCACCTGAAGCCTGTGTCTTGTCATAGCTTTTATAGGTTCTCACATAACAAAGTGACTTTGAAATTGCATTTTGAAGATCTCACCTGCTTAAATTGTTGACTAAAAAGATACCAGATAAAGAAAAAGCCAATGAGGAGAATTCCAAGATGGCAGCTAGAGGGAGGAAGCAGAAAGCGACCCTCCTATAGTGAAATCTTGGAGAGACGCTGGAGACACACTTTGCAGGCATAATCACCGAGAAAAGGCATAACTTTGACCCCTCCACATCTCCAGCCGGCGCAGAGAATCTGCACTTCACGTTAAACGGAGAACCGAGGAGGCCCCCGGGCCACCAGTGGCCGGCGCCCATACGGCTTGGGAAGACGCGGACCAGGTGAGCTTCGCGGTACCGCGGTTCCCCCACAGACAAGCCTGGGCCAGAGCAGCATAGCCCCCTGGACAGACTGACCTCCACCCGGGAAAGAAAGAGAAACTGAGTACTAAGCAATAAGAACAGTTAAGACACGCTGGAAAGAGGGTGGGGCGCCCTGAGCGCTGAAGATTGGGGGAAGGGAAGCCTTCCCGGGACTGTAAATAAACGAGCCGGGCGGGCCGGAGAGCCTCTGGCGGGAGCGGGGTGCGCCCAGCAACCAGGAGCAGGGACGCTTGTGAGAGGAGGGAAGACCCACTTCCCACGTGAACTGTAAATAAACACGCAGGCCTGACAACGCGGGGCAGTGTCACCTTTCCCAGTGCTTGGAAAGGGAAAGCCTGTAGCAGAGGCCCGCACAGGAGAACTCTGAGCAAACAAAGCCTGTGGGACCAGGTGAGCGCTAGCTCACCCCAGAGATCTGCATAAATAACGCCTCCAGCTACAGGCTGAGAGCAGCAGGCAGGCAAGCCACAGTTGCAGATACCACTCTCAGAACTGCCTCCAGACGCTTTTTTTTCTTTTTCTCCCTACCTTTGATGAGAGAACAACCGAATTACACCTGCAAGCCGAAAAACTTACTGAAACTGTATTGCATTTGAACTGGGGACACTTGGTGGGGCTTTTTTTTTTTTTTCTGTGTGTGTGTGAGTGTAGTTTTGTTCTACTTTATGCATCCCCTTTGATGAGACAACTACAGAACAACATCTGAGGCACCAACTCCAGGACTGGAGATTGAGACGGACATCCAAATTATTAAGACTGAAATTGCATTGCATATAAACTTGGAAGTTTTTTGGTTTTTTTTTTTAATTTTCTATTTTCCATTTTATTTTAATTCATTTTTATATATAGATATTACTTTCATTACTTATTTTTTATTTTTTTATCTTTGATTTTCAATCCTCTCTCTGTCTCTCTATGTCTGTTCAGCTTACTGTCGATTAGTACACTAACACTCCCTGTTTATACCTTTGAAACTCTCTTGTCTGATACCTTGTTCTGCTTTCTCCCTCTTGTCTGTATATTTGTTTTCCCCTTTTCTTTAACTTCTTGCTTTCCATCTCAGCTCACTCTTCCATTCAATATTACCATTGTTATTATTACAAGCTAGAAAATACTTAATTACACACAGTACAGGGACAGTAACAACACCAAGGACAATGACAGGAAGACAGAAAAAACAGGGAAACCAGTTTCCCCACAGCAAAAAATTAGTACAGGAACCAGAGGGGAATGAAGAGAACAGAAACTCAGATCCAGACTCCAACAAAATGAAGATAAACTATGCCAAAGGACCCAATGAAGCCCACAAGAATAATTTAAAAGAAGACATACTACAAGTACTCAATGAGAATTTTATAGAGATGATACTGGATAGGGTCAACCAAAATGTACAGGAGACACTCAAGAAATTCCAAGACAATAAAAATAGAGAATTTGAAAAAGCAAAAGAAGAAATAAAGGAAACCATAGAAGCACTGTATAAACACCAAAGTGAAAGAGAGAACACAATGAATAAATGGATAAATGAACTCAGGACAAAAATAGACAACAATAAAGAAGAAAACAGCCAGGATATGGAAAACCTCAGAAAAAAGAACGAAACAGAACTGCAAAACAAAACGGAAGGCCAATCCAGCAGAATAGAACAAACAGAAGACAGAATCTCAGAACTTGAAGATGAAATGGTAATTAAAGGAAAAACTGAAGAACTATTAATTAAACAACTCAAGACCTGTGAAAAGAAAATGCAAGAACTCACTGACTCCATCAAAAGACCAAACTTGAGAATCATGGGCATCGAAGAAGGAGAAGAGGTGCAAGCGAAGGGAATGCGTAATATATTCAACAAAATAATAACGGAAAATTTCCCAAATCTAGAGAAAGATATTCCCATACAAATGCAAGAGGCCTCCAGGACACCAAACAGACCAGATCAAAATAGAACTACTCCACGACATATCATCATTAAAACAACAAGTTCAGAAACTAAGGAAAGAATATTGAAGGCTGTAAGAGAGAAAAAACAAGTAACATACAAAGGTAAACCCATCAAAATCACAGCAGACTTCTCAACAGAAACATTAAAAGCAAGAAGAGTGGGGTGAGATCTTCCGGGCACTGAATGAAAATAACTTCAACCCCAGGATACTCTACCCAGCAAAGCTATCATTCAAAATAGATGGAGCAATAAAAGTCTTCCATGATAAGCAGAAACTAAAACAATATGTGACCACAAAGCCACCATTACAAAAGATTCTGCAAGGGATCCTGCACACAGAAAGTGACACCCAACTTAACCATGAAAAGGCAGGCAGCACCAAACCACAGGATAAGAAAAAGCAAGACAGTAGAGAGTAACATCAAGTTAGGTACACACAATCAAACCTTCAAACAACTAAGACAACTAAATGGCAGGAATCACCACATACCTATCAGTACTAACACTTAATGTTAATGGACTTAATTCACCCATCAAAAGACACCGTTTGACAAAATGGATTAAAAAAGAAGATCCAACAATTTGTTGCTTACAGGAGACTCATCTCACCGACAGAAATAAGCATATGCTTAGGATGAAAGGCTGGAAGAAGATTTACCAAGCCAATGGCCCCGAAAACAAGCAGGAGTAGCAATACTTATCTCTGACAAAGTAGACTTCAAACCTACATTGATCAAACGAGATAAAGAAGGACATTCCATACTAATAAAAGGGGAAATAGACCAAAAGGAAATAATAATCATCAATCTGTATGCACCCAATGTCAACGCACCCAATTTCATCAAACATACCCTGAAAGACCTAAAAGCATATATAAACGCCAACACAGTGGTTGTGGGAGACTTTAACACCCATTATCATCAATAGATAGGTCATCCAAACAAAAACTCAATAAAGAAATCCAAGATCTAAAATATGCAATAGATCAAGTGGACCTAGTAGATGTCTACAGAACATTTCATCCAACCTCTACACAATATACATTCTTCTCAGCAGCCCATGGAACCTTCTCCAAAATAGATCATATCCTAGGGCACAAAGCAAGCCTCAGCAAATATAAGAAAATAGAAATAATACCATGCATACTATCTGACCACAATGCAGTAAAAGTAGAACTCAACAACAAAAGTAAAGACAAAAAACATGCAAACAGCTGGAAACTAAATAACTCATTACTTAATGAAGAATGGATCATCGATGCAATAAAAGAGGAAATTAAAAAGTTCCTGGAAGTCAATGAAAATGAAAACACAACCTACCGGAACCTATGGGACACAGCTAAGGCAGTCTTGAGAGGAAAGTTTATAGCCATGAGTGCATATATTAAAAAGATTGAAAGATCCCAAATCAATGACCTAATGATACATCTCAAACTCCTAGAAAAACAAGAACAAGCAAATCCCAAAACAAATAGAAGGAGAGAAATAATAAAAATAAGAGCTGAAATCAACGAAATAGAAACCAAAAAAACCATACAAAGAATTAATGAAACAAAAAGTTGGTTCTTTGAAAAAATAAACAAGATCGATAGACCCCTGGCAAACCTGACTAAAATGAGGAGAGAAAAAACCCAAATTAGTAGAATCAGGAATGCAAAAGGGGAGATAACAACAAACACCATGGAAGTCCAGGAAATCATCAGAGACTACTTTGAGAACCTATATTCAAATAAATTTGAAAATCTAAAGAAATGGACAGATTTCTAGATACATATGATCATCCAAAACTGAACCAAGAGGAAATTAATCACCTGAATAGACCTATAACACAAAATGAAATTGAAGCAGCAATCAAGAGTCTCCCCAAAAAGAAAAGTCCAGGACCTGATGGATTCTCTGCTGAATTCTATCAGACCTTTAAAGAAGAACTGATACCAACCCTCCTTAAACTGTTCCATGAAATAGAAAGGGAAGGAAAACTGCCAAACACATTTTATGAAGCCAGTATTACACTTATCCCAAAACCAGGCAAAGACACCTCCAAAAAGGAGAACTATAGGCCAATCTCCTTAATGAACATTGATGCAAAAATCCTCAACAAAATAATGGCAAACCGAATTCAGCAACACATCAAAAAGATTATTCACCACGACCAAGTAGGCTTCATCCCAGGGATGCAGGGGTGGTTCAACATACGAAAATCAATAAACGTAATAAACCACATTAACAGAAGCAAAGACAAAAACCACTTGATCATCTCAATAGATGCAGAAAAAGCCTTTGATAAGATCCAACATCATTTCATGATAAAAGCTCTAAGAAAACTAGGAATAGAAGGAAAGTCCTCAACATTATAAAAGCTATATATGACAAACCTACAGCCAGCATTATACTTAACGGAGAAAAATTAAAACCATTCCCTCTAAAATCAGGAACCAGACAAGGATGCCCACTATCTCCACTCCTATTCAACATAGTACTGGAATTCCTAGCCAGAGCAATTAGGCAAGAAGAAGGAATAAAAGGAATACAAATAGGTAAAGAAACTGTCAAAATATCCCTATTTGCAGACGACATGATCCTATACCTTAAAGACCCAAAAAACTCTACTCAGAAGCTTCTAGACATCATCAATAGCTATAGCAAGGTAGCAGGATATAAAATCAACATAGAAAAATCATTAGCATTTCTATACACTAACAATGAGCAAACTGAAAAAGAATGTATGAAAACAATTCCATTTACAATAGCCTCAAAAAAATCAAATACCTAGGTGTAAACCTAACAAAAGATGTGAAAGACCTCTACAAGGAAAACTATACACTTCTGAAGAAAGAGATTGAGGAAGACTATAGAAAGTGGAGAGATCTCCCATGCTCATGGATTGGTAGAATCAACATAGTAAAAATGTCGATACTCCCAAAGTAATCTACATGTTTAATGCAATTCCCATCAAAATTCCAATGACATTCATTAAAGAGATTGAAAAATCTACGTTAAATTTATATGGAAACACAAGAGGCCACGAATAGCCAAGGCAATACTCAGTCAAAAGAACAATGCAGGAGGTATCACAATACCTGACTTCAAACTATATTACAAAGCAATAACAATAAAAACAGCATGGTACTGGCACAAAAACAGACATGAAGACCAGTGGAACAGAATAGAGGATCCAGATATGAAGCCACACAACTATAAGCAACTTATCTTTGACAAAGGAGCTAAAAATATACGATGGAGAAATAGCAGCCTCTTCAACAAAAACTGCTGGGAAAACTGGTTAGCAGTCTGCAAAAAACTGAAACTAGATCCATGTATATCACCCTATACCAAGATTAACTCAAAATGGATCAAGGATCTTAATATCAGACCCCAAACTCTTAAGTTGATACAAGAAAGAGTAGGAAATACTCTGGAGTTAGTAGGTATAGGTAAGAACTTTCTCAATGAAACCCCAGCAGCACAGCAACTAAGAGATAGCATAGATAAATGGGACCTCATAAAACTAAAAAGCTTCTGTTCATCAAAAGAAATGGTCTCTAAACTGAAGAGAACACCCACAGAGTGGGAGAAAATATTTGCCAACTATACATCAGACAAAGGACTGATAACCAGAATATACAGGGAACTTAAAAAACTAAATTCTCCCAAAACTAATGAACCAATAAAGAAATGGGCAGTGAACTAAACAGAACTTTCTCAAAAGAAGAAATTCAAATGGCCAGAAAACACATGAAAAAATGCTCACCATCTCTAGCAATAAAGGAAATGCAAATTAAAACCACACTAAGATTCCACCTCACCCCTGTTAGAATAGCCATCATCAGCAACACCACCAACAACAGGTGTTGGCGAGGATGCGGGGAAAAAGGAACCCTCTTACACTGTTGGTGGGAATGTAGACTAGTACAACCACTCTGGAAAAAAATTTGGAGGCTACTTAAAAAGCTGGACATCGATCTACCATTTGATCCAGCAATACCACTCTTGGGGATATACCCAAAAGACTGTTACTCCAGAGGCACCTGCACATCCATGTTTATTGCGGCACTATTCACAATAGCCAAGTTATGGAAACAGCCAAGATGCCCCAGCACTGACGAATGGATTAAGAAAATGTGGTATCTATACACAATGGAATTTTATGCAGCCATGAAGAAGAACGAAATGTTATCATTCGCTGGTAAATGGATGGAATTGGAGAACATCATTCTGAGTGAGGTTAGCCTGGCCCAAAAGACCAAAAATCGTATGTTCTCCCTCATATGTGGACATTAGATCAAGGGCAAACACAACAAGGGGATTGGACTATGAGCACATGATAAAAGCGAGAGCACACAAGGGAGGGGTGAGGATAGGTAAGACACCTAAAAAACTAGCTAGCATTTGTTGCCCTTAACGCAGAGAAACTAAAGCAGATACCTTAAAGCAACTGAGGCCAATAGGAAAAGGGGAACAGGTACTAGAGAAAAGGTTAGATCAAAAAGAATTAACCTAGAAGGTAACACCCATGCACAGGAAATCAATGTGAGTCAATGCCCTGTATAGCTATCCTTATCTCAACCAGCAAAACCCCTTGTTCCTTCCTATTATTGCTTATACTCTCTCTACAACAAAATTAGAGATAAGGGCAAAATAGTTTCTGCTGGGTATTGAGGGGGGGGAGAGGGAGGGGGTGGAGTGGGTGGTAAGGGAGGGGGTGGGGGCAGGGGGGAGAAATGAACCAAGCCTTGTATGCACATATGAATAATAAAAGAAAAATGAAAAAAAAAAAAAAAAGAAAAAGCCAATGTGACTTTTCCATACTGGTTTGCCTTAAAGTACTTTTTTCCAAATGAACAGTGAGTGTACAACATCTGAGTAGGAGATATGGGCTTATTGAATTGCATATTAAAAATTAAGTTCCCTTATTTTTTATCCATTTGTGTTTCCTGGACCTGTTTTACCATACACCTGTTTAGCTTTCAGATGTCAGATTTTGGTAGCATGGTGCAAATATATGATGCAATTGAGGACTGCATGTATGACTCATTGATATTTCTGGTAAACATTTTTGTGCATGCATATTGTGCATGTGTGTAAAGTTTTCCATTAACTGTGGTTATTCTTTGAGGAGGAAGATGTGGGGAGAGGAGTTAGGAACACAAGTGTTATCTCTTCCTTTGTAAATCTGTTATCTGAATTTATCCACAAATATGTGTATATAATACACAAGTGCACACTCTGTGCTTTACCACTGAACATTTACATTTCACATACCTGAACATAAAAATTTAAGAACAGGATGACCAGTGTCATCATATAGGAAGACTGGAAGATAAGACAACCGAAGGGGAAGCCACAGGGCTTCACAACGGCACTCAGCGTGTGCGTGATGGTAAGCAGGAACTGTACCTAGAGGGGCAGAGAGGACAGCTGATGAGTGAATGAGGCCTCACACCACCAAGGCCACAGCCAAGTCTTATCAGTTTAGATAACAACTATTATTCGCTACATATTCCAGGAACAAATCAAGCAAAATGCTAGAGTAGTTTGCTGAAATTACATTAATAAATATATAAAGCCCATTATTAATTTTCTCATGGAAAAAAATTATTTAAATAAAATGATCTTACATAAAAACTGTTCATTTATATTTCAAAGAAAGGAAATTCCTATTATAAACTTCTTGCATATACAAAAGGCATTTTAATGCATAAAGTATAATTCGTAAAAGGCCATTTTAGAGAAAAATAGGCAGCTTCATCCATCACACAGAAGCCAGGTCTAAGATGATGAGATTTCTATTCCTTCCATGTGTGACCCACAGGGAGAAGAGTTGTAGAGGGAACAACACACCAGCTGAGCCTGCGTGAGGTATTTCTTCCACCACAGGTACTTGTGCATAGATGGAAACACAGAAAGTCCATAGTAGGAGTACATAAGAATGTGGATAAAACTGTTCAGTGTTGGTCCAAAGAAGCCTGTAAAAGTACATATACAAGTTACTACTTTTAGAACATTATCTGCATAACTGAAAATGAGTAACAGGAGGACAATCACATAACAAAATTCACACTGATTAATTCCCTGATCGTTGTGTCATTACTCTAGGATTCAGGAAAAAAAATTCCCAGAAAGACTAAAATGGATAGGCTTTCAGCCAGAGTGCCAAGGAATTAAGTAATTCTTTATTTGCATGGGTTTTATTGTCTCTAATTACCATCAGCTAATCAGGTAGGAAAAAGATGTTAGCTTAAAATTAGCGCATTTCCAGTAAGAGAACTGTCCTTAATTTGGGTAAGTCATTTTGATTGCAGAAAGAGCCTCTCATGGGTTGGGGGTGTAACTCAGTGGTGGAACACTTGCCTCGTATGCTCAAGGACCTGGGTTCCATCCCTAGCACCACAAAAACACCTGTATACAATTGAACAGGGGCTAAAGAGACAAGAATATTATCCTTAAAAAGTAAATAAATTCTACCTGAAAGAGACTTAGGAACCAGGAGAACCGGGGAAAGAGAATTTCGGTGAGAGGATGGGTGGAGAAGAAACTGGCCAGCGAGACCTGCCTGGTGACTAGCTGGCACAGGGGCTTTATGGACAGGGATATCTAAGATCCAGTGCCTTGCCATCATCATTATGAAAAGTCTGTAGCTGCTGCAGACATGAAAGAATGGCCTCAGGAAACCAAGGAGAAAGAGCTACATTCTGTGTCAAACTACCAAGAGGTTTTAGCTGCAAGAGGGAGGTGTCACAGATGGATGATTTGAGAAGTAGGGAGCTCACTATGTGAGAACTAATCAATACAGAAGTGCTTAGAACAGCCCTCAGCACAGACGTGTAGGTCAGTGAGATATAAGACCTAGGGTGGGAGAAACTGGGGTCAGAGGACCACTTATTAGCTCTTGAAAATATTGTTTGACTATAAATCTTTATTTTCACATTTGGAAAGTGGGTATAACTAACTGTGAAGGCTATGATGGGATTAACTGAGATATAATACTGTATGAACTAAAGAGCACTGCACATGTGCTAGTTAATCAATTTAAATTCTTTAGCTTGGTATTCTAGTATTTCATTAGTAACCTAGACAAATGCAAAATTATGAATAAGAAAAGGAACAATACCACATATACAGTAAGTTCCTGACAAGTAATGGCTGGAATAAGCTGTTACAGCACTTGAATGTTTATGAAAACACAGGTTCAGTTTCAGAGTGCAGCATGATGTTATGATACTTATTTACCCACCTGAGTTTTCATTTCCATCAGTTAATGAACAATGATTAGTTACGTGTTTTGGTAATGCTCTTGAATGAAAATTATCATAAATACAGTATTTTATTCACAGAACTATCTATCTTTACAGAGACGATTTGAGTTAGTTTTAGATGCTCAGTAATATGTAATGAAACTATTGAAAATTGTAAAAACAAAATATTTAAATTTGGGAATTCTCCATTGATACTGATTATAGTCTTCCTTACCAACCAGACTTAAGAAACTCCACCTGACCACCTAGCATATGTGTTTATTCTTTCCATCCAATGGGGGTAAAAAGCACTTTTTCTGCTTATGGCACCCATAACAACATCCTTTTTTGCACTGTAGTTGATACACAGACAGTCTCTGACTTACAATAGCTCCACTTAATGATTTTCCAATTTTATAATGCTATGAAAACAATGCACATTAAGAAGAAACCATAATTCCAAGTTTGAGTGTTGATCTTTTCCTGGGTTAGATGAATCTTTCCCTGTAGGTCACAACCAACCCATTATTGAACTGTGAAGTCAACATCATGAGAGGTGTCAGCAGATTTTTATAAAAGTCTATTTTAAAACAAGATACCACAGTGCTTCAGTAAACACTGTTTCACAAAAGTTTTGTTTCATACGATATGTGTGACATGAATGCATGCCTTGGGTTGAAATATAAAATGTATTCTCTTGTTCTGAAACAGGGCCTTGCTAGGCAGCCCAGGCTACCCTTGAACTCCTGAACCTCCTGCTTCAGCCTTCTAATGCTGGGACTGCAGATGTGAGCTACCATGCCTGGCTTAAGATGTAATTTTATTTTTGGTGGTGGTAGCATTTGAACTCTGGGCCTTGTGTTTGCTAGGCAAGTGTTGTACAACTCGAGCCATGTCCCCAGGCCTAAAATGTATTTGCTATTCTAGTTCTGAGCTAAAAGAATTTAAAATGTTTCTTTTTTTTTTTTTTGGGGGGGGCCACACAGATGTTGCCTTAGTTTTTCAGAACGTAATAATCAAAAAGCCCTAAAAGCTGAAATGACTACATCTGTATCACAGTGAGGTGGTGACAAGAAGAAGCCACCTTTCCACATGAGTCAGACATCATCTGCACTGGAGTCAGTCAGCTCCGGCTGGGGGCTGTGCCTGCCCATCTGACACTGGTGCATGGGAAATATTTTTAAATTATAAAGATATACTGTGGTTTTGCTGACATAAAAGGTCAGAAACTAAACGGCCATTGGCAAACACATGCTTCTGGTAGTGACAAGGGTAGCTACTCTGTAGCTTCCCTCGGCTCTTGCCTAATCTGTATAAACTGCTTGACATAAGAGGCAAACTAGAACCATTCCATACAATTGAAAATCAACAAAATAACTTACTTTGTCCACAGGGTATCCAGTTCAAAACACACCACCAGATGTTGAACATAGAGACGTGGTGATAGACGTGAAGAAAAGTGATCTGACACGTCTTTTTTCGCAAAACGAAGAAAACTGTGTCCAGGAACTCCACTAATTTGGAGAAGTAGTACCACCATAATACCTTGGCTACCTATAAAAATTTTAAGGGGGAAGATGTGAGAAATGAAAATGCTCCTGTGTTGCCTTTCTCTCAGCCCGGTTTCGTGTCACTTCTGTATTTTCCTGGTATGTTTTTACGGCTCCTTATCTGGTGTTTTTGCCTCCAGCTTCTTCTCATTCCAAGAAATTCAACCTCGTCTAGTGAAAGATGGGTTATTTTTTCAAAATATGTACGTAATCATGTCCTTCTCTGCACCCACTGCTCTGAGCCCATGATTCCTCGCTGGAGAACAGGAGATTTCTCTGTCTTGCACTAGTGTCTGTTTCCACCATTCTCTGCCAAGCCCTGTAAGGGATCCTTCGGGCCCTGAAGTGGTCCATTTATCCTCCTTGAGTACTGAACCCTCTTTTCCCTGCCTCCAGCACTTCTTTACTACTCTGGGTCTGGCACTTCTAGCCACCCTTTCCCAAGACTCCTCTTTAATGCCATATACTCTCTGGAAGTTTACCCAGCCTTCTTTCCTTTCTCAGAACCAGCTTCATTTGTATTCTCAGATTACTCTGACTACACCTCTACATTCAACAGGTATAAGTACAGAGCAGCCCATGACTGTATCTTTTATATCTCTTCCTCAATGAAAAGATTAAAAGGCAAGATGTTCTTCATCCTCACTAACCTAACAGTGCTGGGTCATGATTACCACTCCCACGGTCTCGTCTACAGTGAAACACTTCTTTATAATCAGAAGTGTTTTTAACACTAACATTTAAACTGAGACACGTTTGGAGATGCTACATAATAGGAATCTTGAGACAGGAGTGGCACGCTGTACGGGCTACTTCCCAGGATAATCCTATCATGGTAGCATTCACTTTATGCTTGATGGAATAATTAACCTTCAGAAATATTTAACCACAACTAAACATAAAACCAGAACCTTTAGAAATCATATGGCATCCCAAAATGTGCCATTCTGCAAGAATGCATTAGAAACAAGACAGTATAGAGAAACTGATGTATTATTTGTATTATAGCTTTGAAGCTATTAAAGATGAAAAAATGTGTATCTTACTGATTTTAGTTAATGGTTTATGCCACTAACTTGTTGATAACTGTATTTTAATTGTACCCACATATTTACATTTTTGAACATTCACTAACACAGGGAGAATAAGTATAGTGAACTCTTTGTGTATCAATCACTGAACTCCAAAAGTTTTCAATATGATTCCAATCCCTACCACTTTTGAGGGGAGGGAGAAGTATAGATTATTATAAGCAAATCTGAGATATTTTATCTGTAAAGCTTCTGACAGATGAGACTTGTTTTAACCACTGAGTCATTTCCTTATCCAATAAAATTCCTTACTATCTTCTAAGAATCAATCTAATGTTCAGATTTTCCCAACTCTCACAGATGTCTTTTTCCCACTAATTTATTTAAATCAAGATCCAAATAAGGTGCATACTGTATTTTATATGGTTTCAGTTTCTGATCAATAATAATCCCCACTCGTTCCTTCCTGGTTTTCATGTCAAAACTGTCAGTTGTATGGAATTCCTTACAATATGGATTTGGATGATTATTTCTTCCTTGTGTTATTTAACTTCTCTAACCCCAGATTCTCTGAATCTAGCAATTTAGAGACTTGACTAGAGTCTGGCTTAATGATTTTTGGCAAGAGTACTTCTGAGGTGGTTCTGCATATTTCCCACTGCAGCACAGAAGGTACTTTGTATCTGGCTGTTCCACTGATATTCTGATCAAACAGTGAGTTCAGAGTTTGAAAACTATTTTGACTCCACTTCCATCCAGTAGTTTCATCATTTACAGATGACTGCTGTTATATGCATTATTTCACTAGGTGTTATAAAAGGGTGATTTTCTGATTTTATTTTTACTTATGCATGTTCCCCTTCTATAGAGAACTTTCCATCTTCATCTACTTGGAAACTCACATATGAAACACAACATAAATACTCTTTTTCTAGAATGAGCTGGGGTTCTGGTGACCTTCAAATGGTAACAGTGAGGAGGGAGGGCAAGAAGGCAGATTGGAAGTATCAACTGTTTTGAATTTGTGAATGAGAAGGGTCAGGTTAACACAGGAGGAAGAGAGAAAGCACGGGAAATCATGAGAGAGGTGGCACAGCAGCAGAAGAGCACAGAGAAACAGAGAAAACCAGCAAACAGTTTTGAGATCTTTCAGGTGTCCCAGGACAGGGAAGGGAAACTGAAGATGCAATCACAGGGTAAACCATATAGCTCTGGGAACAGACTGGCAATTCTAGCCAGTCAAATAACCTAATGCTCAAGTGCCAGAAAAACAAGAACAAGCCAAACCCCAAATTAGAAGGTAGAAAGAAATTATAAAGATTAAGGCAGAAATTAATGGAGACTAAAAAAATACAAGGATTCATCAGGGGTATACTGCAAAATCTTACATTCTAATAAACGAGAAATCTAGAGAAATGGATACATTTCCAGATGCATTTGACCTACTAAAATTGAACCAAGAGGATATAAATCACTTGAACAGATCTATAGCAAACAATGAGACTTAAGCAGTAATAAAAAGTCTCCCAGGAAGGAGCCTAGGACTGGACGGATTCACTGCCAAATTCTACCAGACCTTTCAAAATAACTCAAACCACTGCTTCTCAAAGTATTCTATAAAATAAAAAGGAACACTTAACAAACTCATTCTCTGAAGCCAGAGAATTTTCCCTGATACCAAAACCCAGTAAGGACAAAAAAAAATTATAGACCAATTTCCTTGGACACAGACACAAAAATCTCAATAAAATACCTGCAAACCAAATTCAACAACAAATTTAAAAGATCATGATCAAATTGGTTTTAATCCAGGAATGCAAGAATGGTTCAACATGCACAAATCAATAAATGTAAACAGAATCAAGAAAAAATTACATGATCATCTCAATAGATGTATAAAAAGCCTTTGCCACAAAATTCAACATCCCTTCATGGAGGAGAGGATGAAGAAACTAGGAATAGAAGGGACATACCTCAATATAATAAAGGCTAAATATGCAAATTTATAGGCAACACCATACTAAATGAGAAAAAAACCTGAAATCATTTTCTATAGTCAGGAACGAGACAAGGGTGTCTACCCTTCCCTACTCCTATTCAGTATAGTATGGGAAATTCCTAGCCAGAGTACTAAGGCAAGAGAAAGAAAGAAGAGAGACTCAAATAGGGAAGCAAGAAGTCAAATTATCTCTATTTTCAGATAATATCCTATACCTAAAAGATCCTAAAGGCTCTACCAAAAAACTCCTAGATCTGTTGAATACTTTAGGCAATGTAGCAGGATATAAAATTAACATAGAAAAATCAGTAGCTTTTCTGTATACCAACAACGAACAGGCTAAGACATCAGAAAAACCCATTTATGATAGCCTGCAAAATTAAACCTAGGAATAAACTTAACTAGGAAGTAAAAGACCTCTACAATGAAAATTATAAAACCTTGAAGAAAGGAACTGAAGACACCAGAAGATGGAAAGACCGCCCATGTTCATGGATTGGTAGAATATTGTAAAAAAAGGCTATTACTACCAAAAGCAATCTACAAATTCAATGCAATCTCCATCGAAGTCTCAATGTCACTCCTCACAGAAACAGAAAAAAAAAGAACACTCAAAATTCATATAGAAACATAAAAGACCCCACATAGCAAAAGTAATCCTGAGCAAAAAAAAAAGCAACAGTGGAGGTACCACAATATTGGACTTCAAATTAGATTATAGAGCCATAATAACAAAACAACATGGTACTGGCAAAAAACCAGACACACAGACCACTGGAATCAAAGTGCCAGAAATAAACCCTCACAGCTACATCCATCTGATTTTTTTTTTCCTGTGGCAGTACTGGGGTTTGAACTCATGGCCTCACACTTGCTAGGCAGGCACTCTACTTGAGCCACTCTGTCAGCCCTCATCCATCTGATTTTTGACAAAGGAGCCAAACCCATGCATTGGAGAAGTCAGCCTCTTCAACAAATGGTGATTATCCATATGTAGAAGACTGAAACTAGATCCCTTTCTCTTACCTTGTACAAAAATCAATTCAAAATGGATCTAAGATCTGAAACTTTGGAACTACTGCAGGAAACATAGGGGAGAAGACACTGGAAGATGTAGGCATAAGTGATTATTTTCTGAGTAAGATTCCAATTGTCTAGGAAATAAGAGCAAGAATTGACACACAGGATTGCATCAAATTAAAAAAAATTATGTCCTTCAAGGAAACAATTATCATCAAGAGACAATCCACAGAAAGGGAGAAAATTTCTGCCAGCTACCCAACAACTATTCCATCCAGAATATACAAAGAGCTCAGAAAATGACAAAAGAAAAAATAATCCAATTAGTAAACTGGCAAATGAATTAAAAGTTTTAGAAGTACATGTGACTAATAAATGCATCAAGAAGTGTTCAACCTCCTCATATAAAGGAAATGCAAATCAAAACTACACTGAGATTCCATTTTGCTCCAATCAGAATGGCAATCAAGAAAACAAACAACACATGCTGGCGAAGATGCAGGGAAAAAGGAACCCTCATTATTGTTGGGAATGTAAACTAGGGCATCCACTGTGGAAACCAGTATGGAGATGCATAAAAACTAAAAATAGACCTACCTGATGAGTATGCTATACCACTCTTGGGTATATATCCAAGTATAAATCACCATATAAACATGTACACCTGTTTATCGCAGCACTGTTCAAAAGAGCCAAGCTATGGAATCAGCCTAGGTGCCCAAAAACTGATCAATGTACAAAGAAAATGTGGTATGTATATATATATATATATACACACACACACACACACACATACAATGGAATACCTCAGCCATAAAGAATGAAATTATGTCATTTGCAGGAAAATGGGTACATGAGATAAGCCAAGCTCAAAAAAGTGAAATATTGCATGGTTTGCTCACATGAGGACCCTAGACTTAAAATAGTAACAGGACATGAATATACAAGAGGACTGTCTTGGAAGAGAAATTAGTGTGGGGGAAGAGAAATTAGTGTGGGGGAAGAGAAAGAAAGGGTACTGGGAGTTGAAGATCAAAGTAAGTTACATATATATGAAGACAGTATAATGAAACCCACCAAATACTGTTTGAAAAGGGGAGAGACATGAGGCAGAGAACTTGTTCAAAATACAATGTATGCATCCTTGAAATTACCACAATGAAATCCTCTTGTACTATTAACAATGAGGTTTTTTTCATTTTCAAGTATTTTAAACTCATTCTTTTATGTGCATTTCAACCCATTCCTGGAGGTGTTCTTTTTGATACACAAATTGCCCCATCTTTAGCCAGAGGTAGTCTTTTCAAAGTGGTTCCTGTGCTGCAGAGTTTTGTTATGATCCAAATAGACTTGGATAGCCTCTTTGCTGTGGTGGCCACTTCTTAACTGCCCAGTTCATTTTAAATACACTTTCTGCCCCAAACCAGATATTGGCCATTTTCTAAAAACCCTCTTCCCTTCTCACAGAAAATTATGTTTGCAAGCATCTCGGAATAATCATGGCTCACTGCCCTGGGCTGTCAGACTGACTAGGCTTCTTCGGCAGACAAAGCTAAGAAATAAATTTTTTCTTTTTAAAAGAAAGGATAAAGTTAACTTGAATTTATGATAACTGCGTGTTTAACTTTTTTTTTTTTTTAATGTCAGTACTGGGTTTGACCTCAGGGCCTTATGCTTGCTAGGCCGGCACTCTACCACTTCAGCCACACTTCCAGCCCTTTTTGTTTTAGGTATTTTTCACCAGATCTTCTTATTTAAATATCCTGTGTAGTTTGGATGGCAGATACATACCACCATGCCCAGCTTTTATTGGTTGAGATGGAGTCTTGTGAACTTTTTTGCTTGGGATGGCCTCAAACTATGATCCTTATAATCTCTGCCTCCCGAGTAGCTAGGATAATAGGCATGAGGTGCTGCTATGGCTTAGTTTAACTTTGTAGGTATTTTTTTTTTCAAGTATTAGTTACTACTGATACTAACTTGGTATGTACTTACTTTATCCTACAGTGTCCCTGTAACAGTCTTAAAACAGCAATATCAGTATTCTTAGCAAAAGCAACAAAAAATGCTAGATTCTGTTAAGCTATATCCAACTATGAGTATCCACTCAAAATATGAGGTTTTTAAAATGACTTGAAATAATTCTTGTTGGGTGGTTATGTCATCGGCTTAATATAGCTAAATTCATTTTAGTTTTCCAGTTTTTTTGTCTGGAAGGGGAGAGGCTGCCTTGCTTTCTTTCAAAACTTGATTTTGTTTTATAATTAGGTAAAACAGTGATTCCAAAATCAAACACAGCACTAGGTACACTGAGAGAAGTCTAGCTTTCTATCCTATCCCTTCTGTCCTGTTTCCTCCCCTCAAAGGAAACAATTGTAACTAACTTTTGGAATTTCCTGACATTCTTTTTAAAAATGTAGGAAATATACATAAGTCATTTCTTACACGAAAGTTATGATAAACAAGTCTGCAAGTTGCTTTTTATCATTTAAATCGAAACAGGTGGTCCTTCATTCCATTTTGCAGAGGCACACGTTACATGGATATGCCAGCATTTATTCACTCACTCCCCTTCATATGGACATTTGGAAGACGTCTTTGTTACCAAGCATTTCTGTGGGAACAGGAATCCCTTGTTATTTGGTCCCAGCCCTGTCCTGCTTCTAGAGGGAAAAAACATCTGCTCCTTTTCAATGGGAACTGGTTCTAGATGGCTGACATCTTCTAATGGCTCACCCGGACATCCGCTTCTCCTGAACTGATGAGATTTTGACATTGTAAGTTGTAGCCTCCTTCCCAACTGGAGAGAATGAGCTGCCAAAGCACCAAGAAAGGGGAAAAGATTGACATAAGAAAATGGACACAAACAAATTCCCATTTATATCCCTGACTAGCATCTATTCAAGGTTTGAGTAGAAACATCCCAGAATTTGAATTTGACCAATCTTATCTTTAAACATACATCAAAGGATTTAATTCTTGCCTCTGAACTGAAATCTGTGGTTATACCCCTTAATATTTTTACTTCTAGCCATCTGTATCAGCCAAAGTACCAAATCTAGCTATCATTTGAGTAACAAAATTTTATCTAGTCACCGATTTCTACAAATAAAATGTAGAATTAATTGAATATGACCAAATGTGAGAAAACTACACTAAAACTTAACATTTTGTATTGCTTACATCAATTTTAGATTTGATCATCTCAATATTTACTGCCATTTTACAGATAGGGAAAACAGGACTCAGAAAAGTTCTTAAAACATTTTTCTTCCCTGTGGTTATACCACTTGGTGATCAATTTGTGTGATTAAGTATACCTATCTTCCCCATTGTGCTCAAAAACAAGAGGCTCCATAAAATCTATGTCTCTTATCTAATGCCTAGTAGACAGTTAAGCACTCACTATATATGATGAGTAAGTGATTTTTGTTTTAACAGATCTGTGCCTTTATACATCTCTAAGGCAGTAAAAAATATTATGACTTTTCCCTATAATCTTATGTAAATCAAAGCCACCAAATACCTTAAATTTCAAATTTTTAGGGGTGTTTTCTTTTTTAAATTTTTTTGGCAGTTTTAGGGATTGAACCCAGGGCCTTATACATACCAGGTAAATACTCTATCACTTGAGCTATGTCCCCAAACCAAAAAATGTGAAATTTTTATGGGGAACTTCTTTTGTAGAATTTTCAACAAAGCTCATTTTCTCATGTTGTGGAAAGGACAGAAGATAGTGAATTAGGATGTCTGAACTCTAATGTTTCTAGCTCTTTCTCAACTGGGAGCCAGTGACAGGCTAGAGGGCATCTGGGAATACCTGAAAGTTTATCTAAATTTTTGTGTGCTGGTGCGTTTTTCAAACTAAGAAAATTGTTTAACTTTGTGCACAAGGATTAATTTACAACACCTATGGCCAGGCCACAGTTACATGGTAAGGAGCTCTACTCTCTTATTTCATACACTGAGAAAACAGTTGTCAGATAACCCAAGTGTGGACAGGACAGGGCATATTCTGTTTATCGTGACATTTCTTGCTTTAACCATCCCTGTGGCACCTGTGTACAACTACCTAATAATTTAATAACTGAATAACAGAATTAGGTAGCCAAATCATAGGAAGCTTTGCCCTGGGTCATTCTTAATCCCCTAACTGGACTGAGTACTGGAGATGTGCAACTTTAGATGGATGGAAACAAGGCTGTCAAATAGGGTTTAGCTTTAAGCAGGTGTGGACTAAATTTCTCAAAACATACCTAGAGTACATGAGTTTCTCCCCAAGCTGCAAGCAGTTGTTGCCTGCAGTACTGTAGTCTTCTCCTACTTGGACTCTGCTAAGCTTGCCCCAATTCACCCCAGGGAGAGATTCTTTTCTTTTTTTTGGTGGGGGGGGTACTGGGGCTTGAACTCAGGGCTTACACCTTGAGCCACTCCACCAGCCCTTTTTTGTGATGGTTTTTTTCAAGATAAGGTCTTATAGACATTTGCTGGGGATGGCTTCGGACCTTGGTCCTCCTGATCTCTGCCTCCTGAGTAGCTAGGATTACAGACGTGAGCCGCCAGCACCTGGCTTCTTTTCTTTCGCTGTGTAGAGAAATTAAGCTCATACATTACTTATCTAGCATGCTAAAATAAATCCTGTCAGAGTCAGGAAAATTAGTGGGGGCCTATGTAAGATTTTGGAATTGTCAGCAAGGCTCTCCTGATTGTAAATTCTGCCTCTACATTCTGGCTCTTGCCTAGGATTCCACTTCAGCTTCATTCTCATCTTTTAGGGTAAGAGTTATTAACCATTATTAGAATGATGCCTAATTAGAATAATGAACTGGAGGAGAAAACCTGTATTTTTAACTTAAGGGTTTATTTTCTTTTCGTAACTTTGATTTTATCCTAACTTTTCCTTAAAAAGAATTTTGTTTTGTTTTTGTTCCTTTTGTTTCTCTCTCTCCTTTCAGTTATTTCTGCTACAGTAAGTTAATACATTTAGGTTTTCCCTTGAATTATAGCAAAGTAACGCCTGGTTGTACAGGCAGGCAATCATTACTTGCTCTTCCTTCTGTAAGCTTACTTGGGTTTGGTGCTTCACAACAGAATGTGACTGTAGGCTGTAATGTGGGCAGCCTGAGCTGACCAGGGTTTCAACTTGGCTTCCAGAAATCAGTTCCAAGCAACAGCTCTGCCATTGCCAAAGCATTCCAAAGATGTGAGAAGTATTTTTTTTTTTGGTGGGGGTGAGGGGGGCAGTACTGGGGTTTGAACTCAGGGCCTCGTGCTTGCTAGGCAGGTGCTCAACAACTTGAGCCCTTTTTGTTTTAAGTTATTTTTCAGGTAGGGTCTTTGCTTTTTTCCTGGGCTGGCTTGTGATTACAATCTTCCCACATACTTGGGACCACAGACCTACACCACCATGCTTGATTTTTGTTGAGATGAGGTCTCAGTAACTTTTTGCTTAAGCTTGCATGTAACTAATCCTCTAGATCTCCACCTCCCAAGTAGCTAGGATTACAAGTGTAAGCCATTGCACCTGTCATGGGGAGCAATTTTTAGGGGAATATTTGGATTTTTCTTAAACTAACTGAATTTGATGTTTAATTTTTAAAATAATGTTAATCACTGTATACTCTCAAATTATGTAACCTTTCTAAGCCTCAGTATCCTGATCTGTAAAAGGAAAAAATTATAGCACATGATCATTAAAAGCCTGTTCAAATCTAAATTGTGATTCCAAATTTCAGTTAGACTAAGGACTTAAGGAATAGGTCTACATTGGGAAGAGAAAAATTCAAGTTAAAAACAGGTCTTTGGGAAGGAATAATAGCAAATGCTGGAATGAGTTCTTAAAGAATGGTATTGACAGCAACCTTGCATGGTTCTAGTATGCTACATGTGATTCAGTCTCAAACTCACTCAATTACTGACTCCAGATTTGGTCACATAAACACTTACCTCTACCAGCATATAAGCAGAAAGAAGTGTGATTCCGAGATTATACAAGGTGAGGATTCCCCTGAGAGAAAGAGCAGGTCTGTTCCTCATATACTTGGTACCCAGCCATATTGACAGCAAATATATGACAGTAAGAAAAAAGGTAGGAAGGTAAGAGTCCAACATGAACCATCCTCTGACTCGAGTATCTGGAAAGAAATACATATAATGTATAATAATAATGTATAATAATGAGTCCTGTGAAGAAATGCCTCTGGTTCAGTTAGCCATACTGACAAATACGTTTCATTTGCATAGCAGTCCCCTTATCCTTGGGGAATTTGTTCCATGATCCACCTTGAATGGTTTCCTTCTTCACATTTCATGGCTAGAATTATTTTTATTGTACATCTTAGTGAATACAACATTGGATTTTTCTTATTAAGTTGAGAACATTCGCTTTTTCTCACAAAAGGCTCTCTTTGGCATATGCAAGTTTCTAGCATCACTATGCTTGCACACTGCAGCCATTCTCAGGGTTAACTGAACATTGCACTGTGATACTGTGTAGTCCATCTGATAACTGAGAAGTGACTAATAAGCAATTAGTGAGTAGGCAGCATAAACAACATGGACACGTTGGCCAATAGGGCGATTCATGTACTAGTCAGGATAAGGTGAGATTTCATCATGATACTCAAAATGGTATGCAATCTAAAACACACGACCTGTTATTTCTATTTTTCATTTACTACTTTTAAACTGCAGTTGACCGCAGATAACTAACACTACAGAAGATGAAACTACAGATAAGAGATACCTCGTAAACACAACAGAGAACAATATGACAGCATCAAGCTAGCTGGATTGGGGTTAGACTTCAGGGGATGAACAAACTAAGGAATGTTTTATGGAACAAATAGGGGCTAAGCTGACCACTGAATGACAGGGAAAAGAAAGGTAGGCAAATGCTTAATTTGGAACAATTACTGCACTTAATTATTCTAACTCAATATGAAGTGCTGTTATGTCATTTTATGGATGAAAAACAGCACAGAAAGCTTTAGTAACTTGTATAAAATGGTTGGCAGCAGTCAGGATTTGAATTCACATCTACTTTTTTGCTCGTTCCCTCTCATGGGATGGCTCTAGATAATGAAAGGAGAGAGGACATAATGATACTGTACTGTAATTCCTAAAACCCACATTGCCCAGAATTTGCCTAATATCTTTGTGCAATAAACTGAGTACTGATACCAGCAGAGCAATGGGATCATAGTACAGGAAGTATGGGAAGCAGAAAATAGCAAAACCAAAGCTTAGGAGCTGATTATTTAGAAATGAAAGCAGAAAATAAAGTGAAACACCCAGACTTGGTCACAGGACTAAAAGTATGAATGGCAGGGAAGCAAGAACCTTGATAAACCAAGTGCCCCTTACTCTAGAAAGTGAAAATTTAACAGCTCATATAAAGCCTCCATGACAGAGCTACAATGTACTTAGTTATACCTGATAATAATTATAGACACAAAATGATTATTTTTGGTAAATAAAAAATAGTATACCTAGAATTATTAAAACTGCTTGCTGTTTTTAATCTATAAATACAGTGGAAAGGAGCTGGGTTCAACAGGCAGTGTCTTTTTCTTGACCTCTGTGGTTTTTCCACAGTCTCAGTCCCTCTTTCTGGTATATCCTACATCTTGTGTACCCCAACTTTTCCTTAGAACACCAAACCTAGGGACTATTTTTATGAGGAAAGTACTTCTTGAGTCCTAATTGTCCTCTTGCTTATTCTGTAAACGTCTCCTACTGATGACAGAGATAAAAAGGTAAGAAAGTTCTGCATTCAGGTTACTCACAGGGATCATCTTTCACAAGAATGCTACATGGCACTACCTGATGCTGATCTCCATTAATGCTCAAATAAAGTCCTGACTTCTGAAGGGAACCATCTCCTATTGTTTTTTCATAACTACAGCTTAATTTGCATAGTAAAATAATTATCATTTGCATTTTTATTATGGCTATAATGTTATAATATGTGCCAGGCACTGCTCAAAATCCTCTTACATGTGTTAACTTATTTCTCATTCTCAAAGCAATTCTATTAGGTTATACTATCCCCAGTTCACTTTCCAGAAAAGTTGAGCCAGAGGACAAAAAAGTTAAATAACTTGCATTAAATTGCTACCCTACCTTTTGTGGTGGTATTGTGGGTTGACCTGTATTCCCCCAAAAGTTATGTTTAAGTCCTAACTCTTGGTATCTGTGACTTCAATTTTATTTAGAAACAGGTCCCTGCGAATATAATCAAGTTAATATGAAGTCTTCCTAGATCAGGGTGGGCCCTAACCCAGTGAATGTTGTCCTTATAAGAGAGGAAGTTTGGATACAGGGACACAGAAGCAAGAAGCAAACACAGTGTAAGGACAGAAGCAGCAATGGGTAATGCATCTACCAACCAAAGAACTCCAAAGACTGCCAGCAACCCCCACAAAGTGGGAGAGAGGCACAAACAATAACCTCAGAGAGAGCAGGACCCTGCCCAAATCTTGATTTTAGATTACTGGACTCCAGAGCTGTGAGAGAGTAAGTCTGTTATTTTTAAGCCACCCAGTTTGTGGCAATGTTATGGCAGCCCTAGAAAGTGAATGCATGTAGTTTAGTATTCAACTGCTTTCCTATTTTAGGTGTGCTAGTTTTACCTCCTAAACTACCACATATGCTCTATGAGATGTGCTTAGGTCTTCTCTTTTTTCTGTCTTACTTATAACATTCACTTAGTGCTGAGTTCGAAGGAAACAGTCATTTAGAACATGTCAACTGGCACAGTGAGTCAAGCACATACTACAAAACATTGTAACACCTCAAAGTTTTCATTTTCTTTTCTCAAGTCTCTATAAATGTTTGCTGCAGTTATTAAAAATAATCAAAATCGTTTCAACCAAAACAGGAATACTCGCAATAACTTTTCTTCTCTTTGGCACTTGAGCAGTTTTCCTTCTGCTTCTGTGTCAACCCTATCCCTCGATGTTCCTAACGTAGTATGTGCAAAGTCAGAAGAGACTAGGAAACCTAGAACTCACCAGGTGCCCTGCCACTCTATGTAAGCTTGGGTCTCCTTTAGGAAGGAAAAGGGTTCTTGATGACTTAAATAGTAGACACTGGGCAGCTGTGGAGGTCATAAGATTAGAGGATGTCAGGTGTTAACTTTACAATCTCCTTGCTACAAAGGAAAATTTCCACAAGAATGACTGAAGCTGAGTAAACAATTGCAATTCTTCTTTAAATTAATCCCATAGCTGCAGAATTCCAGATCACACTGATTTTACTGGTGACAAAATTCAGTGTGAATCTGATTCTGAGACACTGCTGTTTGACTTTCTGGTGGAAGTGTCAAAGCGAAAGCCACAGTCATCAAGAAATCACAGTTCCTCCAGTATCCTGACCTCCACACCAAGATCATCTCTTTCCCACCTACTAGAATTGCAAGGCAAGGAACACAGGCATTACCCGCCTACTCCATACAGTCATCAGAAACAAAAGAATGGGGGGAAAAACCCAAACATTTTTTAAAGTATTTTTAAAGCTGTACATAGAGTATCATTATATTAAGACTATGTAAATCATCATTCAGTTGGAATGGTTTACAGAGTCTGTATGGAAACTGGAGAATAGTCCAATCTCTAAGTAGTTATTTAAAGATTTTCAAAAACAGGAAAGTCTCATTTCCCTCCTCCCCTCTTTACCCCTAACAGTGCTGAGGAAATACCTTATAGAGAAATGTGGATTTTCCACAGGTTTGTGAACCAGCAAGGCTCAAGTGAAACAAAATATTTTGTTCATAATTCATTTATTTGCAAAATATACAATGCTTAATATGTTCTGGGAACTGTGATAAACCTGGTTGCTGTCCTCAGGGGAGAAACTGCTATAAGTAACCATGAAGCCTAAAAGGAAAGAAAAGGGTGAAACACAGTAATAAGGGGCTGGCTATAGAGAAAGCCTGTCTGCAAAAGTAACACCCAGGCTGATAGCTGAAGTATATAAAGTAGCTGACCCGATTTTGGGGAGTGGTGTGGGATGAAGCAGGAGACAGTAGGGAAAAATCCCAGGCTCAAGAACAGCATGTAAAGGAATTTTACATATTTGAGGAATTAAAAGATGTCTCAAGTGGTTGTAAAATTAAGTGAAGACAGGCTCTGACTGAGTCAAAAAGGGCAAGGGTCTGTACACCATGATAAGAAGTGTGGCTTTGCCCGTAAGGGCAGTGGAAGATAGTGTGAGTTGCAAATTAAGAGTGCCACACAGTATGATTTAGGTCTTTAGAATACTGCTGCAGCTGATACTCAAATGACTGGAAGAGGGGAGACCAATTAGGAGGCTTCTGCAGCCTAAGTGACTGATGATGGAGGGACCACTGAGGGACTTATAAGCAAATCCCAGTGGCCCAGGGCAGGGAAAGTTCACACATTGTTAGAAGGAGTTTATGCAGGCATGTAAAGGTAGGAATTCTACAGATGACTATGCATGTGAGGATGGTGGAGGGTGACTGGGCAGTACAGAAAGGAAAGGAAAGCAGCACAGTTTAGGAGAAAAGCCACAACCTTGCTTTGCAGCCAAGACACAGAAGGAAAATACTGTAAATTTGAATTTTAGAATTTTAATCCCAGGAGAGGTTAAACAAGAGGAGAAATGGGGCCTTCTGGGTGTTCTGGGGAAAGGATATCAAAGGCAAAGGAGGTTAAATTGCCTAATGTCAATACTACTTTGATAGACATACTACTTTCAAGACACCAGAGATGATATAACCCTCTTCTATAACTGAATGGCATTCTTCCTGTGCTCTTTCCACATTAAGTTCTCAAGTAGCTTACTCACCTCGAGGTCCAAACATATAATCCAAAAAAGTATTGACTTTATCATCAAAGGCCTTTATATGCTCCTAAAGAGAAAAAGAAAAAAATTTTTAAGCGTTTTTTTAAAAAAACACTCAAAACAAGCCACCACCAACATGTAGTTACAGAATCTCCAAAGACTCTAGCTTCAAGAACTTTGGACTGCAAAGACTTAAGTGAAACAGCAAGGCTGTTTGTGGTCAGGATATACAACTTCATCTTTTACAAGCTTGCAAAGATTTGGAAGCAAACAATTCCTCTTTTCATTTCCAGGCCAGAGGAGCCCTGGAAAACAGTCTCAGTGCATTAGACATGAGGGTTATTGACCTCAATTCCATTTACCTCTAATATGCTTAGAGGCAAAGCTGTTCCATAATCAACTTCCATTGCCTCAGTTAACAGAAGCTGTGTGTAAGCAACAGGGAAAGTCTATGACTGTAGAATATAAACACAATTTTTAAATGGAAATTCAGTTGCATTGTATTTTATGAAGCCAAATCTAAAGCTTTAAAAGGGTTTAAGTATGGGAACTGAATGCAACAGCTATTTTTTCTATTACCTTTATGTTTTGTCTTCAAGCTGTCTTATACATTAATATAAAATAAAGAGTATTACTTGGGTGAACCAGATTAATTATTGTCACTTTAACTGGATTCAGGTTGGGGCTGTAAAATTGCTGCTAAGAATCTTAAGATTGGTAACTTGGCTGGTGCCAAGTTGATCTAGTTCCCATTTATGCCTGTCTGCTACTACCACTCAAAATAGCTGCTGAAGAATCCTGCCCCCTTCAGAGGACTAGAGCCCCTCTTCAAACAAGGGGAGGCAAAGACAGAGCACGACTCAGTGGTTGTGAGGACTCTGGGCAGCAGGCTGGTGTGAAGCCTTGGAATTTACATAGAATAAGGTTGGAGGCGTGGCTCAAATGGTAGGCATGCTCCTGCCTAGAATAACCTCTAGATTCAACAGCTGGAGTCCAGTTAGGACATCAAAAGCACTCTCACAGATAGTGTTAGTGCCAAGGAAGAGACTTAATCATTGGCATCTGAAAAGACTGACTGGCATGAGCCACTTGGACTTATTCCTTATTCATGTCTTTGATCCTGAGAGAAATTTCAAGAAAAATAGGCCTTTGGCAATCTTGGGAAGCTTGGGAGGATGGGGACTAGAGACTGACATTTATTAGCACCCACACTGCTGGCACTGCCTTAGAAACTCTACTTTCCTTATTTTATAGTATCACTATCACAAGCATTTTCACTAAATCAAGCCTGGAGGTTTGTAAACAGTATTTCTATTTCTGATTTCCATGTAAGGACAGGAGACCTTCAAGACTTGAGAAAACTCAGTTACCTAACAATATGATCTGTGTGGCTGTCATAATAGGCTGTTCTGTCCAGAGGTCTCTCATTCTTTAACAAAGAATGTTAAATAGCCTCACAGATGTACTCACCCTTGCAACAAATGCCAGTGAAATTTTCCATTGCCACATCCATGAACAGATGTTTAAACCTTTTCAGTCTGTTTACTAAAGTTCAAAATCCATTTTCCAACACTTGAGAAGAAAACTAATTCAAAGTTTGCAATAATCATTATTTCTATAAACTTGTAGAAATTTATAGTGAAAGAGTAGAAACAAAGGGGACCATATGAATACAAAGAAAATGAAAAAGATGAATAAAAATGGTATCCTATTTTTTATTAATTTTATTTGCTTACTGGAACATTAGTATACACTAATTTAATGCAGGATGTTAGATGCTGAAGTGCAAAGTCAAATGGGACATGGTTCTTCACATAGTTTTCAGTCTAGAGAGCAACAGACAAAAAATCGAAGGTCACAATGCCAGTACTTAAAAGCTTACAGAGATATTTTGGAAGAGAATGAAGAAGAGCACTTTAATTAGATCTTTTAAAAAGAAAGGCTTCCAGAAAGAGATGAGGCTGTAGCTGAATTCTGAGGTACTCAGACACTGTCTAGATGGAGGAGGAAAGAAAGAGCATATTAAGGAGAAAGAGTTACAAACACAAACATAACAAAGAATGACTCTTGGAAATGTTCATAGCCAGAGGTCTCCAGTGACCTATATGACAGACAGAAATACAGCCAATGTTGGGACAATCAGACTCTGATAAAAATTATCTCTGTCTTTCTGGTTATTTAATGTAGTTGGTAAGGGAGCAGTCTAACATCAATGGTAAGATCAGTAGAACACGATTACACTGTATTAGTAAATGCAAGCAGAAGTACATAGAGTTTACAGTGTGTCAGTTGAGGATGAATGCCTACCCAAGGAAAATGGAGTAGAACTTAGGCAGGGAAATAGCAGCTATACCTATACTAAGTTCTACATGTGTAAATGAAAAAGCATCCTGAACAATTCCCAAGATTTGCACCATAACCTAGAAGCTGAGGAAAAACCAACAAATTCCAATCTATGTTTCATTGATTCAATGAACTTATATATACATAATATATTATATATAATGCATATATTCATATATGTACATATATTCAGATATTTGAAGAACAACAGACAAATGGTTGGCTCAAAAGATTACAGACAAATTGAGAAAGCAAGACATAGAAAGGCAAATAGCAAACAGTTGAAGGGGATACCTAGTACTGCCACAGTGATGGACAACTTAAGAGTGAAAACTTAGATGGGTTTTTAAGTATTGCAAAAATCTGGATGGATTACAAAACAGGGAAAAGTACTGCCCTTTCATCCAAGCAGAACAGATACTTTCCTGACCTCTGTACTTCAGAGGGCTCATGTCTTGTCATCCTTTGGCTATACCTCTCCACACAGAAAAAACAATCCTTTGAGCCAAGTTAACATACATACAATGGCCACAATGCTCCAGACTGTTCCAAATTCCCTAGGCCACAGCATTCTTTGCCAAATAACCCCAAGCATATTTCCAGAAACTTCCTTGCCCCACAAAAAGCCCATGTTTTATGACTTGGAATCCAATTTGTGATCGTGTACAGCAAATAAGTGAGGGAAAGAATGGAAGCAATGAGGGTCTTTTTTGGTAGTACAGTAGAGCCTTGATATCCATTGGTATACAGTTCCAAGGAGATTTCCACTGAGGAGAAATTGTAAATGTTCAGGATGCACAGAGCTCCATACTCTAAAATGACTCAAATTTACCTGTACCATCTGTACAGTAGGCCTGAACATCCAAAACTTGAAGCCACATACAGCAGGCCACATTACTGTCACAAAATTACTGCTGTACACATTAATATTGCTCACCAAACACCAGATCCTATTTCATGCTCTTTATCTCAACTACTGCAGATGCCTGATTCATTTTTCCCATGACACCACACAACTTCCACTAAAAACATGCCTTTCTACATGCACATTCACTTTTATCATGTTTCTGGGGCACCATTTGCTTTTTGGGAGGAATATTTTCACAAAATTAAGGTCATGGAAACACTCAACTGGCCACACAATGATTTAAACACAACTGATGATAATGTGGGACTGAGAGTTTCTGCACCTCAACTAATTTGCAGAATGTGCATGGGAATTTAACCTTTTTGGTTTTGACATTTTTTTTTTTATTTTTTGACCGTGCTTGGCCAAAACTGAGTGTAATAAATCTGCACATAAAACAGGCTTATTTCCTGGGGATCAAAACCAGGGCCTTGTGCATGCTAAGGCAAGTGCTCCACCATTGAGCTACATTCGCAGCCCGTGGAGGGTTTTATTTGTGTATCCCTGATTACTGACTACAGTTGGTGAGTATGGAAAATGGATCAGCCACTTTGCAAAACAGTTTGGCAGAAACATAAACATACGTCTGCTACAGATCCAGCATGCCACTTCTAGGTAAAGTCATGCACAAATACTCAGAGCAGCTTTATTTGTGATAACTAAAAAACAGAAACCTCCAAATGTCCCTGAACTGGTAATAAATAAGGTCTAGCCATACAATGAGACACTACTCAGTAATATAAAAGAATGAACTACTGATATACATACAACATGGACAGATCTCAAAATTACTATTCTGCATGAAAGAAGCTACACAAAATACCACCGTATCCATTTATATGAAATTTAGGAAATAGAGCTAACTTATAGATAGCCATCATGGTTGCTTGGGAACTGCTGGAGGCCAGAACACCGTTCAAAAATAAAGGTTAGTTAAGGACATTTACACATAAGCATAAGCAGAACTGACTATGTCATCTGCTAAAGATTCTTCTTGCCAAAGAGAGAAGATTCCATATGGAAAGTAGAATTTAGAGAAAATCAAAAGCACCAGAAGTGGATCTATCTAATTGACAAGCCATCAGTAAGAGTACCTTACAAGCAAGCTGGCTTCCCCCTCCCTCATCACATCCACTATTACTGCCAACACCACCTGTAACACCATGCTCTTCCTACTATTTGACATAATACCCAGTGAAGTCCTGCACCTGTTCCTTCTACTGCCAGTAGGAAGACCACTTGGAGGGGTGGTCTTCTCTCCATCTGAGCAGGTCCATGGACAGACTACAGAGATCCAAGCAAGTCTCTTCTTGGCTATGGGGTATGTAACTTCCACCACACTTCCATCTCAGCCACCAGCTTGTGGGTATTTGGGAAACAGGAGAGTTATTTTTTGCCACCATTTTGTAGACTGGGACTCCCACCAAACCCTAACTGCTCCAGTTAGAGGTAAGCACAATTCAGGGCATCTCAAATGATGAGAAGACACTTCCTGTTTTTTGTTTTGTTTTATTTCATGGTGCTGGAGTTTGAACTCAGTGCCTAGGCAGGTGCTCTACCACTTGAGTCAGTCCTTTTTTGTTTTAGTTATTTTTCCAGATAGGGCCTCGTGTTTTTCCCAGGGCTGGCCTTGGTAATTTGGTGTGTGGGGGAGAGGAGCAAGATGTCTGAGTGACAAATGGCTCTATTCCCACAGTTTGAGAAGGATTTCCTTCAAACCAAACAAACCCACATAGGGCTTCCCTCCATGAATTTGCAGCAGTAGTAAGGACTGGTCAGATTATCATTTTGCTAACAGAAAAACAGGATTTTCCCCC